TGGTGATGGATTCATAGATGTTAATTAATGATCACTAAATAATGAAATAAAATAAAATCAAAGAGAGCCCCACATGGACCATTGATAACATTGACCAGTAAGTAAGCCCTTGTCTATATCCAGACATAAGAAGTAAGCAATTATTTAAATAACTTGTTAGGTTTAAAAATATAATTATAGCTAGGGTAATTTAATAGTGTTTAGATAATGTCTATAAATAATCGTTTTGATAAATTTGGCTGTAAAAGAAAGTAGAGAAAACAGTTGAGGACTGGAGGAAGATCTGAGGTTAAGGGAGGGAGTTTTTTTTTTTTTGTTGTTAATGATAAAGATATACATGATGTTGGTAGATTAATGGGAGCAATTCCAAGTACAAGGAGAGATAGATAGTAAAGGAGTTAAAGGAGCTATCCAAGGGAGCAAAGATCTTGTTAAAATAAGGGGAGATGAGATTCAGAACACACATGGAGAGAATGGCTTTTGGTAGGAGTAAGGAATCGTCCATAGGAGCAAATCTAAATAGATTTGCTGTGCATTGTGGGAAGAGGAGGGAGTTTTTATTGATGGCTCCAGTTAAGTTGGGTAATGAATAACACCAAGAGACATTCATTATTATTAAAGCAGTTGGCAGACTTGAGAGTGAATATGAAAGTCTAGCTAATGAACAGAGATTCCTAGAGAAAAAAATAGTGGTTTTGAATCTTAAAGTTAAAATCGTTCTATCAGTCATCTATACCCAATCTAATTTCATTGTGATTATTTAATTTTTGTCTAAATAAATATAAATATTATGGTTCATTTCAAAAAGTGTCAATGTTTCTTTCCATCACTGAAATCTCTGTCCTGCAGTCTGTATATCAACTTATCACTTAGGCATTTTATGATTTCAAAAGTCATTAAACTATAATGTGACTGAATATATACACTTATGTAACATTTTTTTAATTTTGTAAAAACTTAAACTCTCAAATCAAAGATTTTGGTAAATTTGTGAAAGCAGTTTTAATTTTATGTTTTAGGTGTAAAATGGTTTAATTTGCATTTTAATTGCCACCCCCATATTGTTGACCATTACTTGTTCTCAGTAGAGCCAAAACTTGCTTTTTGTTTTTTGGCATTATCACTAACTATATGGTTTGGTGCCCTGGTTCAACTCCCAGACTCCGTGGATTTATAACCCTGACTTTGCCAATTACTGGCTATGTGACTCTGAGCAAGTTACTTGACTCCTTTATGCTTCAGTTTCCTAATCTGTAAAACTGGAATGATAATGATAATACATACCATGTAACAGTGGTCCCCAATCTTTTTGCCACCGGGGACCGGTTTCATGGAAGACATGGGGGATGGTTTCGGGATGATTCAAGTGCATTACCTTTATTGTACAATCAAACCTCTCTGCTAATGATAATTTGTATTTGCAGCCATTCCCCAGCACTAACATCAGCTCCACCTCAGGTCATCAGGCATTAGATTCTCACAAGGAGCACTACAATCTAGATCCCTCGCATGCCCAGTTTACAGTAGGGTTGCCTCCTATGAGAATCTAATGCTGCTGCTGACTTGACAAGAGGTGGAGCTCAGGCAGTGAAGAGAGTGATGGGGAGAGGCTGTAATTAGAGATGAAGCTTGGCTTGCTCGCCTGCTGCTCACCTCTTGCTGTGCAGCCTGGTTCCTAACAGGCCACAGACTGGTACCGGTCCATGGCCAGGGTTTGGGAACCTTAGCCATATAGGGAGATTAAGTAAACTAGTACATTTAAAGTGCATACACTTGGCATGCAGAGATGATCGTAAGTTTTAACTACTATTACTTAATTATTGCTAATGTTCATTCCAATTCTGCTCACATTACTTGTTTGTTATACATTTTAGGGTGAAGAATGATTCTGCAAACCAGTGGGGACATGAGCTTCATGAAGAGGAAGGCTTTGGGCTTGGAAACCACACAGAGCAGAGCTTTGCAGTCAGACAGACCTAGATTAGACAATAGCTCCAATACTTATTAGTCATGTGAATTAGTAACTCCCTAAAACTTTCTAAGCCTTATTTGTAAAATGCAGACATCAATAGCTATTTTGAAATCTTGTATAAATGTAATAATGCCTGCAAAGTGTCTGATAGGAACTCAGAAATGATGCAATTATTTGAATCCACACCCCACATTTTTTAAACAAAAAAAGTAGCAGTATATCCTCCATACAGTTTTTGACTTTACTTTTCAAGTTAACATGATATCGTGAACATATTTGCATGTCATTAAATGTTCTATTGCATAAAATATTGAAAAGCTCATAGTGGTCTATGAAATACATGTACTGTAATTTATTTGATTGATTCTGTTTTTGACTATTTATGTGTTTTCAATTTATTTCAATTTATTATACTATCAACAATCAAATTACAAACATCTTGGTATGCCTCTGTTATTTTTATTCAGTAAGATAAATTGTAGGATCAATCATACATACATTTAATCGTCCTCCAAAAAGCAATGGACGAGTGTGCCTACTTTCCTGTACCCTTACCAATGTGGACATTAATTTTATTTTTGATCTTTGCAAAGTTAGGTAAAAATGATATTTCATTGCTTTGATTGTTATAATCTCAATATATTTCCTATGATTGTTGTGTGATTCTTTTTGTGAATTATCTTTTTCATATCTTTGCCTATTTTTTCTATTGGAATGTTCATCTTTTTCTTAATTTATGGTGGCTATCTATATTTTGAGTATATTGTAATGCTGTGCATGATACATGGATCTCAAATGCTTTCTTTTAGCTCTCTTTATCATTTGTATTGCATTTGTTTCTATTGTTTTCCCTATGCAGAAGTGTAATATTTTTATGTATTCATAGCCACGATCTTTTTTTTATAGTTTCACCCTTTTGTGTTGAGTGTCTTTCTTTACTTCTCCCCTCCCCCCAATTTTATAAATATAGATTTTAATTTAAATTCCAGAAAGTTTGAATATAAGTACCCATATCAAGGAAAGTATGGGTCAGCTATTCAGACAGAGCTCCACTCCACTGGGCAGATGTGTACTATTATGTAACTAATATTTACTAGATGTGTGATGTATGAAGTTCCTTATTTTCAATATGGGGTAAAAGTTTTCCCAAGCCATGTCGTTATTTGTGCACCCAGAGAAGGAACTGTTGCATGTCTGTGGCTAAATGAAAGTATTAATAAGTAAAGTCTTGATTTTTTAAATATATATTAATTTAGAGGCTCAAATAATAGAACAAAAACAAAGATAATCCATGTTTAAAGTCACTTCACTCATTCTACTTGAACTGGAGGCATAACTTCAGCCAGGATCTCAAATGCTGCCAAGATCAGAGGCACCTCTCCATGTACACACCAGAACTGGATTTGTTGGGTAAATGCAAATCCCAGACAGAGCTACTAACTAAGCAGCCTCAGTGCTTTCTTGAAAGCACAGCAAAGAGAGGAACTCTGTAAACTGCAAGAAAGGACTTTCAGGATGAGAGATATTAAAAGAAGATCTTTGCAAAATTTGGTTTGAAAGCAGTGGTGATTAATTTCATGTGTCAACCTGACTGGGTCACAGGGTGTCCAGATATTTGGTCAAACATCATTCTGGGTGTTTATTTGAGGGCGTTTGCAGATGAGATTAATGTTTAAATTGGTAGACTGAGTAAAGACTACCCTCCCTAATGTGGTGGGTCTCATCCAATCAGTTGAATGTCTGAATAGAACAAAAGCCTGGCCCTCCCCCTCCCACCCCAAGTGAGAGAATTCCTTCTGCTTAAGTGCCTTCAAACTGGGACGTTGGTATTTTTCCTGCCTTTGGACTCGACTTAAAATATTGGCTTTTCCTGGGCCTTGAGCCTGCTGGCTATTGGACTGGACTGACATCATGAGCTCTCCTGGGTCTCCAGCTTGCTGACTCACCTGAAGATCTTG